TAAACCCAAATCCTTATCTGCCGCCTACTCACACCTTTGTGAGGACTACGATTCCCAGAAGGCAGCGCTCCCTTCACTCAGCCGGCGGGGAGCCGCGGTTTACAGAACCACCTCCCCAACCGAATTTCACACACCTGTCACTTAGGACGCGGCCGGGAAGGCCTCCCTTCGATCCGCGTTCTCCCCATTTTGGGGTGTAGCTCAGATTCCTGAAACCAGTTTTAGCGCGTGGCCGACCGGGAGGCCGGCGAGGCGCTCTAGGCCGAGCGGCTTCGTCTCTATGACCACAAGGGGCGGTCCCTGGTGTCCTGCGCTGGGGCGCGGAAGGGGCGGGCGTCAGTTCCGCGCTGGGCTATCGGGGAACCATGGCTGCCCCGAGAGGTGAGGACAGGGGCTGCTGGGAGTGGGGAGTCTGAGGGGGGCGGCGGCGGTCTAGCATCTGCGCTGGTCCGCGCCTGTCGGGCAGCGGAGCACCCTGGTTGCCCACGGCCTCTGCGGCCGGGCTGAGGCGTCAGGAATTTGCGTGGAGCTGCTCCCGGCTGTCCGGGCAGCCGGCCTCCCCCTGCGGCTGCAGTCTCCGCGGCTGACTCCGCGTTTGGCAGGTCGGCAGTCCGAGACCGCGCTGACCTCCACTAGCTGGGAGTGGGTGGGAACCGAATTCTGACAGGCCTGGGCTGCGGCGGACCCGGAGAGGGGCCAGGGCGTGGGTCCGGGGCTGGACCGCATCACCCAGAGAGACAGGACAGTTCTTGGCCCTGGCCCCGCGACTTCGGTGTCTTCTGCGCCTCCTGCCTTGCGGATGCTCAGAGACTTAAAGGCAGACTCCGGGCGCAGACCCCACGCGGCGGCTGGGCCATGCAACAACCAGTAAAGACATCATTGGGACGTCAAAACAGCACTGAAATCGTAATGAAAGGAAGATAACAATCGTTAACAGTTCCCACCTGTGTGCTGTGTGTAATTATAGAGAATGCTGTATGCAGTTAGAAGGAACACTCTGATATTTGTGGTGGAAGGTGAGAGCCACCTCCCTCCTCCCAAGGGATGGCACATTCGGGTGAAGGCGTATTTGTTTACTAATTGGCATTTAAGGAGGGCGAGTCTAATTGACTCCCCACCACTTTTGCTGAGCAGTGTAAGTTGGGACCAGAGGTGGATTTTTTGACTGTGGTGCATTAACTAGGAGAAGTTGGACAACACTCGGATTCTTGCTCCACCCTTCCTCCATAGAACACTTGGCTTCACCCTTAAATAAATATTGAACGAATACCTAAGGAATATCTTCTTACGTGGGTGTCAAGTTATTTTCCCTGTTGCGAGGTCCATGTTTATCATCAGGCCCTGCCCAGGGGCATTGTCTTTAGTTGCATATGCTTCTCTTATGTCTTCTTTCTGTTTCATTTCAAATAAGTCCAATCTTAAAAGCCTTTTGTGTAGCAACACAGGAAATAAAGGAAAAAGAAATAGAATTGTTTTGATAACTAAAATGGAATGGGGATAGCAAAATTGATCCGAACGAAAACTTATAAATAACAGAAGTCAAATCATTACTTGAAATAGCTGCAACAATGTAAAGGTTTAGGCTTATTGTCAATACATATTTGTTGAGGCTTGATTGTAATCCTAACAAAATTACAGTTTCTATAGCTTCCGAATATCCACAAAAGATTTATCTGGGACTTCCTGAATTTCTAAGTTCTTAGGTATTACAAGTAATGTCCCCATAAACTATAGTAAAACGTAACTGAAAAAAATTTTAAACTGTAAGTTTCTTTTGGGGGACATTTCCACACAAATACTGTGTAGGAGTAAACAGAACTTCGTGAGAAGCAGAGAACAATGCAGGGTTAAGATGTGGCTGCCAGCTGAGTTGTCGGCTAGGTTTATAGTTACTGGCATTGGGTGTGGTTTGAATGATTTGCCCAATTTGAAGTGATTACATATGGACTTTTGATATTACCCTGAAATAACTGAAATTGCTAATAACTGAAATTTTATACTGGAGAATTTGTGAATGGAGTGAACAAGAAATAGTTTAGTCTGATGTTAAACTGCCAGAGAAAATCGTACTTAAAAACATTTAGTATTTAAAAGTTGAAATACATTTAAAACTGGTATTCCATATCAAAGCCCAGTCTGTTTTGCACATTCCTAAAGTTATTTGATTACTCTTCCACTTAGATCAGTAGTTTCAAGAGTATAATATATATTCCTATGTAATCACTATGCAAAAAGCTATTTTTTCAAGTTAGTGACAATATTGTAAGTCAAAATATGTTTGTAGGCCATCAATATTTGGTTTAGTGTTTAAATATTCACTATGTTGTTTTTGGAATCAGGAACCTATGCAATACCTAAAATAAAGTACTTTTTAGTTTATCAGCCCTAATCTCTGTTATTTGTGAAAATGTTGATAATCTAGGACATGAGTTGGCAAACTTTTCCTGTACAGGGCTAGATAGTCTCTTGTCATAACTACTCAGATCTGCTGTTGTAGGGGAAAAAAAGTAGTCCGGATAACTTAGAAAGAAATGAGCATGGCTATGTTCTAATAAAACTATTTATGGACACTAAAATTTGAATTTCATGCAATTTTCATGTATCACAAGATGTTACTACATTTTTAATCAAGTATTTAAAAATGGAAATGTAAAACCATTGTGAGTTCACAGGCTCATGTAAACTAGTGGACATATATAGTTTGTTCACCCTATCTAGAAGATGTGGGGAGTGCCTTCTCTTTATCGATTAAAGGTTATTGCTGTTTATTTTGCAGTCATATTTTTTCCCTTGTGTGTAGGAAAGTTTTTGAGACGGAAGGAAGTATTATAGTGATCTCCTTCACTTCCTTTTTTATAAACACTGATTTTTGGCTCCTCAGATCTTTTTGGAAAGAAAGTTTAAGCAGTTAAAAAATATTTTCTTCTGTTTTACTTTTTATTTAAACCTGATATGATTTTTATTAAAATTGCTGACAATCAGAAAGATTTCTCTTAATTCACTTGGGAAAATATTGTATATTGAAGAATCCTGTGCCTTGGAAGTTCCAACCATACCGCTACTCTAAAGATAATCTATTTGAAACTCCTTGTTTATTTTCCTAGGAAAACAGTCTTTGAATGTGATTAGGCTTCCCAAACAGTGAACAAAATTGTACATTAGCATATAATGTAGTAAAGTAGCAGGCTGGAGTCACCCGGTGCCTTCTGGTTCTTAACCTGGGGTTGTCGAAAGTATGGGCTCTGGAAGAGCCTAAACTATTTGTTTCTGGCCCGTTTACAGAAAATTTGCGTGATCCCTGTTTAACTTGAGCCTAAAGATTTGATGGAGCTTAAGGGGGACTATTGGACAATAGGTGGAGGTTCGGGGTAAAGGAAAGTGTAGAAAGTTTGGATCCTTGGTGGCCAGTTCTGGAGCATCTGGGAATAGGACGCATCATGAGGCAGGAGTTGGGTACCGCAGCTGTCTCTGGGTTTTACAACGGTCCCTGACAGGCCTCACTTG